CAAAGATCACATGAAGACCAGACTACAAAATAAAAGCTGCCAACAGAAACAGGAAGACGAGACAGAAACAAAAGTTTAACTTGACCCCAGAGTGAACCACGACACTGTGTGGGTCCTGCTGCCCTCGTGTGGGTCCTGCTGCCCCCATGTGGGTCCTGCTGCCCCAGTGTGGGTTAGTGTGGGTTTCTAAATTCTCAGAGGAATTCAGTGAATTAAATTACTTTCTGATTTCTTTAAAAATGAGGTTTAATCTAGCATCCTGTAGCAAACTGTGGATGTTGACGTATTTATTCTCCTGTTATTTATCATGTATGTCAGTAATCTGGCTGTTAAACGACTATTTTAGTGATGAGACAGAAAAATGTATTTCTTCAGTTATTTCAGCATCAAGTCAGGTGGAGCTTCTGTTTGTTCCAGTGTGTTTAATTAAACTCTCACTTCACATGTCAGCTGTGAAACATCGGCTCATTCAGGATTTACTTTTGTTAACTGTGGATTTTCTTTTATCTGCTGCTAAAAAAAACTGAAACTGATGCTTCTTCCCTGATGAGCAAATGTTCAAATATCTAAATGTCAGAAACATGAGTGTATTGATGAGCTGGGTTATTTCCTTCAATAAGAGGTGTCAAGACATTTTCTATTTAAATTGTCATTTTATTGATAACACCTTAACACATTTTCTTGAAGTTAGAGAAACACGTGTAGCACGTAAGAGAACAGAGCGATAATCTGAAGAATCAGACAACTACAGGATTAATACTATTATACAGAAGAAACCCAAAGTGACAAAAAGAGACAAAGGGAACTAGAAAGAGCAAACTGCAGAAAATTGATTGAAGAAGGTTGGAAACAGAGGGAGAGGGGAAAAGAGTGAAAGACACCCTATCAAGAGAAGCCAACTCAGTGTTGTCAGTGCACCTCAGTCACTGCACAAACAAGATGGCACCAGTTCAGAGCGAACAAAGTGACTCCAGTTTATCTCAGCGACGCTTCCTCTGACTGAACAGCTGACACGAAGGCAGCAGAGCTCACACTGCCCTCAAGAGGCCAGAGGACAGGTAATGTAGTCAATGTGCAGGGCGGCAACATTTATTACTTCCACCCACAATGTCAGCTCCATTATTCTGATACAACCATGATCTACCAGTGGCATTAGTGCTAGCTTAGTCAGAAGTGTGCAGCCCTGGTCAATAATGTGAACGGAAGCTGCTTCTTCTTCTGCACTCATCAGCTGCTGTTGTCTCTGACTGGATTGTCTGTTTGATCCGACTCTAAAGTTACTGTGCAGCTACATCAGCAGCAGCATCCGTCTGACTTCCGTCCGTCTGTCTGTGCTTTACTTTGTGTGACTGCGCCCCCTGCTGGAGCTCATTCCCTCTGTGACTGCAGTGCTGTTCCTCATGCAGGCTCAGGGAGGCACCAGTCACTCTTGGTGCTACGTACAGAAGGCAGCCATTCTGCACCGACAACACAGAGCCCCGTAGAAAAGCATGCAAAATAATCATCATCATCATCACCATCATCACTGTCCACTTCCTCATCGTCATCCTCAGTGGCACACTCATCCATATATTAATCCTTATTATAATCATCTTCGTTAGATCATCTCAAGACAAAAATATCTATATGCACTTAAAAAGCTGAGAAAATAGAGAGAGGTCGAGTTACCAGCATTCAGTAGAAAATGAGAAGCCAAATAAAAAGGAAAACATCAAAAAACAAGAGTCCTGTTGACTGTCATGCAAAGAAAATGTCAGCGAGGCTGCTCGTTAGTTGCAGTTGTGTAATACTGTGAACTCCCTCATTTTAAATATGTGTATCTTATTATACTGATTTCCAAGGCTATTAACACGCTAAGAACAGAAAACAACACATTTGTACTGTACATGCTGCTTTTTCTTCGTTTTTTGGAGGGGGTTGGGTCATGTTTGGGAAGCACAGTCACACATGTGACCGTCGACCTTCTAGTATCAGAAGAGGCTGAAACAGACATGAACAGAACTGGACACGAGTACAACACGTCTCAGCGGTTCACCTTGAAAAAAAAACATCGTCATTTGACAAAATCTTCACCATGGTAACAAAAGGCGATGAAGCTTCTGGAGGGATAGTTCACACAAAATACAATCCTGTATTATAAGAGTTTTGAAGTGACAGACGTAGCACTCTGCCGAAGTGGCAGAAAAACAGCAGAGACCATAAAACTCATGTCAAAGACAGCTCAAATGTTAATCTAGAAGAAAAAGTAATTCACACCATGTTGGTCGTTGGTGAAGAATGCAAATTGGGTGTACTATCCCTTTAAAAACAGTCCGGCTTTACATGGAGCATCGTCCTTTTGAACAACTGCAGACAGCACGAGTTGTACAAGAGGAACACACACGAAAAGAAAAGAAGAAAAAAAGCACAATAAAAATATCCACTAAAATAAATAAATAAATATTCAAAATAAATAGAAACCTGAGGACTGTTCACCAAACCGACTGCCCGGTCTCGTTACATCTTGGTCTGACCAATAAGGGGCGAGACAAACGTGAAGGCAGCCAATGGTGGACGAGCAAAGTACAACGGAGCCGATCGCGAGTCAAACTCCCACAAAATCAGTTTTCAGTGCTGCAAAGTCCATCCGATCAGTCCAGCCAGCCCTGGCACAAGCACTTAATGTCACGAAACGCTGATGACACGTCACTGGAGCACAAATCAGAGTAAAAACATGAAAAACACAAGATGTGGAAAAAAACAAAAAAACAGAAGAAATCACAAGAAAACAAAAATAAAAGAAGCCCTGGGTTGAAGGCAGGGGACTGATACATCCTCCGAAATAAAGCCTTCATCTGTCACACAGCACACACACCAACCAGGTTTCCTCCCAGGCTTATAAAGTCCACACTCAGAGCAGCGCACACACACACACACACACACACACACACATTGCAACCTGTGGCAAAAAAAAACCAACCGCTGTCCTGCAACCCAAGCAGCCCGCCTTCACTCTGCACCTGACAGGTGTTTGTGAGCACGTGCAGCTTTGTGCTCTATGGCTTTGGAAGGTCACACGTCTGCCGGGATCCTTCCCACTGACTTCCTTTCTCATTTTTATTGAACTAAAAAAAATAAAGAGGACCTAGCAAGTTAAAAATATCTCAACTTTTCTGAAGAGCGCACTGAGCTTCGAGTGGGGTTTATTATTATTATCATTATTTTTTTTGCTGTTGCCTAGCAACAGCAGGAGCCACCAGCAGTGCATCCCTTTAAACAAGCACCTTTAAAGCTCGCTAGAAAACTAAAACAAGCACCCGGCGGGGCCGAGGCTGAGCTGCTGCTCACTGAGACTTACATGAAAAAAGGCGGCGGCGTGGGGTGGAAGCATGGTGAGGGTTAGGAAGCAGCAGGTCAGCGAAACTGCAATCAGATGACTTCACATATAACAGGATGCTTTAACGTGACACTCGTGTTTCTCATCGTGACACATGTTGGTGTGTCAGTAGAACAAGAAAGACTTTGGTGGTGTTCTCTGTCATCAGTTTACCTACTATCACATACAAATCCTAAATGTTGATGCATTTAACGACATTTTCTAATTATCATCGGCTGACTGGTGCCAGATAATTTCCTAAAACTTCACAAGTCATTCGAACACTTTAACCTTAGTTCTTTATTGCATAGCAAACCAACATCATTCTAATTTCTTACTGTCCAGCTGTGGTTCCTTCAGTAAAAAGATGGACCTCGAGAGAGAAACGATGCCTGGACCTGACACATCTGACTATTTCTGTATTTTAATGCATGTTTAAAAACTTGTGCTTTCATGTTCACTAGTGAACACCAATGTGTCCAATCACAGCCACATATTTTAATTTCTTTGAACAGATCATTGCTGGTTTCTCTGATACCAGCTGTGACACTTCCAAGGCCGTTCTTGCTAGAAAACACTTCCTTCCTATAACATGCCATCTTATTTTGTCATAATGAAATAAAGGGGGAGTGTTGTTCAGAGGTTTCTTGTTAGAATATGTCAGTGGGTGCTTCTCATTATGCTAACTTATGCCTCCTCCTCTTGTGATTCAGAAATCGGTCCCCTTCTGCCATCGTGGAGGATCTTATCCCTTATCCTATCCCAGCTGACTCAGGGTGAAGGCAGGTTCACCTGGACAGGTAACCAGTCTATCACAGGGCTACACTTAGAGACAGACAACCAAGCACACTCACATTCACACCTACGGACAATTTACAATCACCAATTAACCTCAGCATGTTTGTGGACTGTGGGAGGAAGCCGGAGAACCCGGAGAGAACCCACGCTGCACGGGGAGAACATGGAGACTCCACGCAGGAAGATCCCGGGTGTCCTCACCGGGACGTGAAGCGGCGACCTTCTAGCTATGAGGCCACGGTGCTAACCACTGAGCCACCTGCAGCCCTCTGACTCGGCATAATCTGCAGCAAAAAACGCTCTTTAAATCTTATTTTGTTGCAAAGTCGCAACAAATCAGACTTGACTGTCGACTGTATGCGTGCAGCTTTATGTGCCAGTGAACATGCAGCTCATCTCTCCTCATGTATGTTCTAGACATTAGCCTAAGTGTTTTTAGTCCAAACAACTTGCCCGGGGGGATGAAAAATATGGTTGCCGACTGCTGATTAACTACCATCGATGATGAAACGGAAGTGAAGGAAGCGAGGAGACATAATGAAAAGCCCTCAGAACACGACATCAAGCATCCTGTTAAAACATGAAATTGTTTTGTTATGATGGGAAACACTTTTTTATGGTGACAGACCCACAAATCCAGAAAAGGAACTCTAGCAGAAAAAAGCAACATGTTTTTCAAGGCGACCTCCCACCTCAGTGTTCGGCGAGCCAAAGGCGTTCCAGTGAGACAGAAACACGAATTTATGATTAAACTCCTGTTGCATGCTGCTTGTTCTGCTGTGATGCAGGAAGACACAGAGTGTAGCGGCACCGGCTGCTCACGCTGCAGCTAGTCAAACTCTGATTGGCGGACATGACCACACACACTCTCTGCATTCACAGATGACACCCATCACAGGCACCCCCTTCCAAAAAAAGACAAACAACAGCAAAAAAACCCACCAAAAACAAACAAACAAAAACATGTCGACCATGATTTTGGGCGCAGTATTATAGCTAACATACAAGAAGCAAATTACAAAAACTGCCAATATCATTTTTCACTTAATAGCCACAATAAAAAACAGCCACTGTTAATATGGGGGGGACATGCTTCCTTAAAAAGAGAGAAAAACAAAACAAAAAAACTTCCTTCGACTCTAGAAACCACCGGCATCAAGAATTCTGAATTATACAAATGACATATACAATTGCAAATGTGTAATAATAATAATCATCATCATAATAATATCGTAATGATAATAATCATAGAGTTTACTTAAAACTTTACATACTGTATTTCCAGTGCAGTGTTTATGTCACACAAGTGTGGATTCACAGGAGGACATGAGGCTGGTGGGAAAGAGACCACAGGAAGAAGGAATCACACCCAGAGCTGAAAACACCCCAACCCCATCAAAGCCCCAGCGTGCCAGGGGAAGAAGAGGAAGCTGGGGGGGTGAAGGATGTCAAGCTGCTGGACGTTGACTCGCTGCTGTTTGATGGTTGTCGTGGGGACGGTGACAGACAGGGGGCAGTAGGAGTAAAAGAAGAGATGCATGCTGGGGGGGGTGAGGCCGGGCGTCCAGTGAGGGAGGGTTTGTTGTTGAAGGGTGAGGAGCCCCCAGACCGACACTGGACATGTTCTTTCATCCCTTCCTCCTCCTCCTCATCCTCTCTCTCTCCAGCAGAGCACTCCCGACAGACAGAACTACAGCGTTCGACCCTGAGAAGGAAAAAAAAACAAAATGACAACGACAGCACGACTTGAATGGAGCTGCCCACTTCAAACATGGAAGGAAACAGGCTTTGGCTGCCAAATGTTTGACAGGTCTGCAAAGTGAGTGTGAAGCTGATTACTTTGCTTAGAATCCACAAAGAATCGTACCAGGCTGGATCTGACCCAAGTTAACAAAATGTGCCTGTTGGTACGTCGTGTCCTGTTTATACTTTACAAGGCGAGATCATTTAATTTAAAGAGTGTCCTTATAAAAAGCAAAACTCACACCTGATTTAAATTCAGAAAACATCCCCTTCAATGCAGTAACCGTGCACAGCGAGACACTGCTCCCAGGGCTCCTGCCGCATTCTGAACACTCCCTGAAGTCCTGTTCTGCAAGCAGCATCTGCTAAGTGCACTGGATCTCCTCCGCTGTGCCAAAATGGTGAATACTGAACCTGAACTTTATTGTGGGGAAGAGAAAGAATACGCAGGAGCCAAATCTGGCAAGTAGGGCGGATGGAGAGAGTCAGTTGTGTTGTTGGGATCAAATAAAGACGCTGTGAGCGGGCGCACATTAACCAGTGCCACAGTTCTGGTCATCTGAGTCAAATGTTCTCCCTGAGACGCCTCAGGGCGTTCCAGGAGAACTCAGCGCTGGCCGTCTGATCCTGAAGGATGCATTCCAGCTGCACAACAACACACATGCTCTTTGCTGCTTGATGTGCAACAATGATCAGCTCTCCTCACCGCTAAGAATCCTCGACAGTGAAGTCGTGACTATTTGACACAGATTTAGATTTGTTTGTTCTCTGACAAAGTTGGAGGTGAAAGCGTAAATGCATAACTTCAAGTGGTCAGAAAGGGGCTTTCAGAGGGCTTTCCAAATGTGGCAGGAGCGCTGGGAGCAGGGCGTCGCTGCACCACAAGACTATTTCAAGCGAGATAGTAGCCAAGTATAAATCAGGTGCAGTTTTTACGGTTTTGCAGGCAGTCTTGGAACCACTACGATCAATGTAGCCCTAACGTCTTTTTACCTCTATGCCAAGCCAGGCTCACACCAACACAGTGAGGAGCCTCCTGGCTCCAGCTTCACACTGTTAGAACCGCAGTCATCTGATCATGCAGCTCCAAGCAACAAAGCCATTGAATATGTTCCCCAAAATGTCCAACTTCTGCTTTTACAAACATACTGCGGTATAAACATGCACCTCCCAAACACGGTAGAACAGCAGAAACTGAAACTTGCATGTTTTTTATGACTTTCATGTTTTCATGCTTGGCTCAGGTTTCAATGAAGATAAAAACGGAATCAGATTTTATGAATAAATGATGGTGTTCCTGCACCTGCTGCTTCTACATGTAGGATTACTGTTTAAGGCCCGTAGCTTCAGCATATCAAATATCCAGTAAATAACAATGACACAGAGAACACGCCAAAGACGTCTGAACCAAAACGTACCGTCAGACTTTCTTTGCTGCTTCTAAAAAAAACACAACCACACTGCATCCAAATAGATTTTGGATAACACCGCCATCTTTGTTTGTTTCCATCTGTTCGTCTGTCCTACTCTCCTGTTTGAAAAGTTCCATATTGTCTTTTCTCAAGGCTCCAGCCCCCTCGTGACCCTAGTGAGGGTTGAGCGGTGTATACATAATGGATGGATGGATCTTTTCTCTAAAAATCTTGCCATGTGAAGAGCTTCACAGCCTGACAACGTACAGGTAAAACAGCAGCAGTTTGAAGAAAGACCAACAGATGAACATGCTGAGAGGCGTCGCCTCTGCTGTCAGGTGTCTGAGTGCTGTCGTCTTTACCTCACTGGAGCGGCGCAGCTGGTGCGCCTGAGCAGTGGAAGTGGATGTTCTGCCACTTGCTGTCTCTGCGATGCCAGACGCGAGTCTCCTCTGACTGGCTGGACCGCGGCCGACCCTGGCCGTCGACAAACTGAGTCAGGCGGATGTAAGCGATGCAGGCGGCATCCTCACCGATCAGGTGGACGTGAGGGTTCAGGATGGTGGTGTGGATGGGCTTGCTGTTCTTAGCCAAAACTGAAAAGATGGTGATGTCGATGTTAGGAGGAAGACTGAGAAGATGACACATCAACAACAATGAGTTCTTTTCCACTGCAGGAACCTATGGGTGGTTTTAGGGCGGTGCTTGTTCTAACCGTCCCTGTGGAACCTCTGAGAGCGGTTTTCGGTGGAGTAAACGGTACCTAGTCCATCGTAGGAGCTGCTGAGTGGCCCTGAAAAACTACTATGTGGGTCTTGACCTGAGTAGGTAACTCAAAGAGGACCGTGAGCGCCCTGTTAATGTCCTCGTCAATTAGCAAAACACATCCTCATTTTCAATGTAAATACAGCCACACAGGCCCTTCATCTACTGTCCAGTAACTACCGGTCATTGTTGGGGCTCACGCAGGACTTAGTGTCGCCGTTGAAGCTGTTTCATCCTAAACTGAGTGTCCAGCAGCCAATCAAGTGTCTGTTCCTGTGAACGCTCACCATCCTGCAGTGAAAAGCCATTTAATAATAATACTGCTAATTTAATAATGCTCGAGCACGTAGAAGCTGCTGCCGAATGCCGTTACACACGACTGGCAAATCCAGCTTCACTTCTCTAATTTAATCTTTCATTTGTCGCTTTGTCTGAGGTTGAATGTATGATTGAGGCCTAAAAGTAGACAAGGGGGCAAACGGAGAGCTGCATGAAAGAAGTCTGAGCACACTTCTGAAAGTTTTTCAGCCCCATTGTGTGTTTCAGATGAATGTATCTGAACTCAAACTAAAGACAAACAAGATCAGGAAACATTTATTATTCTTACGGTTCTCAAAGTAGAATCTGTGGAAATCCATCCCCTCTACCAGGTTGCCCAACGCCTCCGGCTCAAACGAGGTCAGTCCGGGGTCGCAGATCTTGCTGAAGAGGAAACGGCAACACCAATGTAAGTGCATTTACTCTACTACTGAGCTGAAATGCATTTTTGGGGTACTTGCACTTTATTGGCGTTTTTCTATTTAATGCTACTTTGTGGAGCTCCGCGTTAGTTCAGCCAGTCGGGGCGTCACCAGGCCTTTCTGTCCAATCCTTCACTGCTTCAGTCCAGCCCACTGAGCTGCTTTAGAACTGAGGCAGGGTTCATTCCTTCTGCTGCTGCTCCAGCCTCTGCAGATCCACACATCTCCTCCTCCTCCCCAACCTCCCCCCTTTTTAAAACAGTTCAATTTCATTACCATCTATTAAATAACCAACCGCTCTCACCCAGCCGGTCCAGGCAGATGGCCTCCTTCCCTGAGCCTGGTCCTGCAGGAGGTTTTTTCCTCCCTTGGGGGGGTTTTGCTCAGAGCGAATCCAAAGGCTGCTCTGGATTGTTGGTTCTCTGGTTAACTCTGTGAGGTCTATACCTGACTATGTAAAGCGCTGTGTGGTGACATATGCTGTAAACAGCGCTATACAAATAGAATAGAATAGAATAGAACTGAATAGAATAACTTTGGGTGTTCCCATATCGTGGGACCGCAGGATGCAGATGGTTCATGACTGTACCTTGGATCTATGTCATCTGGATTGTGTAATGTGAGCACCATGTAGCTGCTCTCCTTCTTCCTGTCTTTATACTGTATTTGAATATTGTGAGTTTAAGGCTCTGCTGGAGGTTTGTGATCTCAGGACTGTGTCAGGCTGCTCAGATTGTTCCACAGCATCACGAGCAGAGTCACCGCCAAACTCAAATGCATGTGATCCCAATAAATGGGTAACTCTGACAGTGTCCTGCCTGAAATACATCCAGAACTCTACATTTCCAACAGAAATACTTCTCGTTCACCACATTTGTCACAGCTTTAGTTACTGTTAAGATGCAGATTGTACACAGTGGATAATACGACACCACATACAGTTGATAAGTCTATGAGCTGTTAACAGTTTGACCAAATACTGATTATTCCCTTGAGGCTTTCCGCATGTTTAAAGGGATTATGTTGTTTCAAATGATCCAATCTCTCATCAAAAATCAAACATTAGAGAAAAACCCAAAAACACATCTAGAACTTGTCCTTCTTCCGTTTCCCATGTTCATCCTAACCCTAATCCATCCTGAGATGAGACCTCAGATGTATCTGTGCATAAAACTGAATATAAACTAGTTCAAACTTGCAGCAGCTACAACAGTAAGCTGCTGCTGACACACTGATCAACTAATGATGGCATGTCATTCTGATGAAGCCACACATTTCCTTTAAAACTGTATCCTCACCACTGAATACACACTTCTACGTCATCAGGATCTTTCCGGCAGGACTTCAACTTGTAATGAAGCATTTTTACATTGCTGCTATAACACTTCTCACCCCAATGCCAAATGTGACCTTTAAAACTTTGCATCTGACATGTATTACAGACAAACAGGCAGACTCACGCGTAGGCCTCAAAGTCTCCGTTGTTGATTGCCTCTATCAGCTGCTCAGTGATCTTGATTATTTCTTGTTTGCGTGCTGCAGAGGACAGAAGGGACAGAAGTTAAACAGAGGTCATCACAAGAGATGGAAAGATGGAGAGCAGTTAGTGTTTTAACAGTCAGTCAACAGCAGCTGAAAAAAACTCAGGCGCCACACACAACCCGAGACCAAGCCAGAAGAATGTAGGAAATCACATCCAATGAGTATTAGAGCTCCGTCTAACGTCCATGTGCAAAGCTGAAACCACAGGCTTACTCACTTTTGAGTTAGATTTAGACACAGACAACAGAAATCTTCATAAAAAATGTGATTTCTGAACGACGGTCAAACACACTGTAATATGAGCACACCGACAGCATCTCCTTATGTCAACACGAGCAACGTGTCCGACGTTCTTAGAGGCAATAAAACGAGTCAGATCCTTTATAAACCCATCCGCAGTCAGAACGCAGAGGAGGTTAATAAGGATGCTTCAAAGCAAAAAAAAAAAACACCAACTTTAACAAAATGTGCCAACATTTACCCAAAGCAGAACACTGGTAAGTACATTAGTGAACACACAGGCCCCAGAGGGAAATCCTGACATGTCTTGTGATTAGGCCTCCTGATTAGCTAGCATGCGTAGGACTGGGGCAGGGGGTGACTCAGTACTCACTCTGGGAGGAAGACAGGGAAGGGCTGGAGGGGGAGTGAGGGGGAGGTGGGGAGGTGGTGTGTGCAGGTGGAGGGGTGGGTCTAGGTACCGGCGCCGGCGCAGCATCACCCTCGGGTGCAGGGGCCGCCGGCACCCTGCGAACGCTGCTGACCAGGTCTGTGAGCCGAGACACTGGGCAGCATCGAGGCAAGACGGGAGGATGGAGGGGAGGACGGAGGGGAGGATGGAGGGGAGGACGGAGGGGACGTGGAGGAGTGGAAGGAGGGGACGTGGAGGG